CTGAGCCAGAGGCCAGGCCCAGGCCGCTGCCCGGCGTCTGTGGGGGTCCCCGGGGCCGGCACCTGAGCAGAGCAGGACGAGGGGCAGCAGGAGAGGGGCCCGGGCCATGGTGCTGTCCCAGATGTGCCTGAGGCGCAGCCGGTAGGGCCCTGGGCCCCTCTTATCCTTGGGGCGATGCAAATGCACTTCCTTCCTGTCCTGCCAGGGGCTCTGAGGGCAGAGAAAACTCTGAATGGGGACTCGCCTTAGCCTGTCTAGGGCTCCGTGACCAGACGTGACCAGAGCAGTGAGACACCACAGCCGTGGAGAGGGTTCTTGAGAGAGGCCGAGGTTAATCCTGGCCCGGGCCGAGGAGCCCTGACCCCTTCATGACCTGGGCATGGTCGGTGCAGCCCAGCTGAGGGGGCGTCAGCGGCTGGGGGCTCCTTGATGGGCTCCTCAGAGGGTCAGTCCCTGGGCACAGCCCTGGCTGCATTTCCAGGCGGAGCCCTCGTCTGGGTGACGGTGACGGTCTCTCGGGATGTGCTGGCCGCCGGGCGGGGTGGCCGGCTGAGCTCCCTGCAGCTGCCCTGTCCATTCCCCCTGGGGCTCCTGGGCCGCCCAGCTCTGTCCTGCTCCCTCTGCTGCAGCTCTGCTGCCCCCTGCTGGTGGGGAGTCGCCAGGCCCCTGTCTGCCAGTGGCCCCAGGCCCTGTCCAGGGGGAGTGGGGCAGTGTCCAGCCCTCCTGTGCCAGTGGGTTTCCCTGGCCTCCCAGCAGAGTACAGAGAGACAGAGTCTGGGGCGCAGGGTGAAGGCACCTCAGTTTCTGAAATCGGGCCCCTGCAATTGCTAGCCCTGTGGTGGGGGCGCGTGGTTGGCGGGGGCCTAGTATGTTTGCAAAACTGTGGAGTCTGGAGCTTGTGGGTGCACCAGGGGTGCAGCTAAGACCAGGGGACGCTGCCCATCGAGGCCAGGGGACCCCAGGGACGCCGACCAGGCCCAAAGACTCGGCCGCCTGGCCTGAAGCTCAGCTGCTCACCCCCTCTCCTGAGCTGCACCCCAGTTCTCCAACGCAGGCTGCTGTGCTCCTGTTCCAGGCTGCACCCCCAGCGGAAGCGGCTCAGAGCCGGGGTCTCACCACCCGGTGGACTCTGCGGCCGCAGCCAGCGCAGCTCGTGCCCTGAGCAGACCCGGGCTGTGCCAGAGACGGTGGCCGGGAAATGGGGGGCCAGTTCGCGGGTCCTCGGTCTGCATGAGCTCCCCTGCGCATGTCCTTGTCCCTGAGGCTGTTTGTCTTCCCTTCGCTGGGCTTCTCTTCACCTGCTGTTCTTCCCTGCGTATCTGAGAATCCAGTCTCTCTCATCATTGGCTGAAAACCAGTTTCGGTCCCCTTTATAATCAAAATTCATCATTTCTGTTCTTGTCTGCATAAATAAATAAGCTATAAAATCATGATATCTATGTAAAATGACTGGACACATGCAATCTTTGCTCAACACTTTCTCATTCTTAGCTGGCACGGAGTTTGCTCTCCTTTCCCAGCGCAGACCAAGCTCTGGAGGTGATATCAAGTGACGCCCGATCAGGAACTGTCCCCTGTAGCCGGGACCACAAGCCACGACCGTGTGCAGAAACTCAGGTGAGATCCTCTGCTGATGCCCAGGGACGAGGCCTCTGCCAGCCTGCGCCTCCCTCACGCTGACCCATCTGTGCCCTGGGCACCCTCCCTCCGTCTACAGCTGCCTCTGGGAGTCCCCAGCGCTGTCTCTCCTCTGTCCACCTGGTGCTCAACCCCAGGACAACTACGGTCAGGGACACGCCTCAGAGGTCCTGGCCCCCAATTACCCTCAGGACCACGTCTGCAGAGTCAGCAGGGGCAGGAGGGTCAGCCGAGCTGGGCCCCGGTCAGCACTGATCGTGTCTGTGTCCATCCCCTGGCTGAGGACAGGGCGGCCCAGGCAGGGAGGGGTTTGTGTCTCACTTCCCCATCAGCGTGTGTCACTGTGGGATCGTAATCACTCTCAGATGACAGACAGTAGTAGTCGGCCTCGTCCTCGGCCTGGACCCCGCTGATGGTCAGGGTGGCCGTTTTCCCCGAGCTGGAGCCAGAGAACCGCTCAGGGATCCCCGAGGGCCGCTCCTTATCGTTGTAGATGACCAGCACCGGGGCCTGGCCCGGCTTCTGCTGGTACCAGTGAGCATAATAACTTCCAAGTTTGTCGCCCTGACAGGTGATTGTGACCGTGCCGCCCAGGGCCACTGAAGCCGACGGTGGCTGGGTCAGCTCATAGGAGACCACGGAACCTGCAACAGAAAAGAGGAAGGTTGACAGGAGATGAGGGCCTGGAGAGAACGACCCCTTGCCCCATCTTCCGCAAGACCTGGCCTCTGCTGTCACGTGCAGGCCCCAGGGCCCAGTGGCAGCGTCCAGCCAGTGACCACAGACTGGCAGAGACTAGGAGCCTCTGACCGCCCCTCTCTCCCCTTGTGAGGCGCAGCTGCGGAGTCACACAGAGAGTGGAGCCAGTGGAGTCTCCCTCACCACCACCTCCCAGCAGATTTGTGAGACCCCACAGGTCAGAATCGGCTGCCTGGGCCAGAGCCCCGGGGTGGGGCAGAGACCCGGCCAGCACCTGCGCAGAGAGCCAGGAGGCCCAGGAGGAGACGGGTCCAGGCCATGGCGAGCTCTGAGCTGCTCAGGCTGAGGCGGGCAGGGTCCCCCGGGCTGGTCTTATCCCTTGTGGAAATAGTTGCCGGTATGCAAATCAGCCAGCCCAGCTGCTTTTGGGGAGCTCTGTGGTTAGGGGAGACAGCCCCCAGGGAATCATAGTCGGGGAGGGTATATTCTAAGCGCCATGGCTGCTCAGTGATCCTCCTTCTCTGTTATCAGACCTCTGATAACAAGGTCTGGTTGATTCTTGTCCCCTAGACTCTTAGCCCAGGAAACCGTTGTCTGACCCTGTTCCACAGGAATCCTTTCCAGGCTCAGATGGTCTGAGCCAGCCTCGCTTACCCACGAGCCTCTGAGCAGCCAATCCTGTCTGAAATCCCTCACTTGGCCACCCAAGTGTTTTGAGGCCTGTCACCTCTCTGGGGTGAGCCTCAGTCATCAGTCTGAGCCTCCGCATCTCCTGAGTGCATGCAGGGATGCGGAGGTCAGGGCTCCAGAAAAGCTGGGTGAGCTGAGAGCTGAAAGGCCGCTGAGAGTGCGCCCTGAAGTTCACTATAGTGAAATGTGATTTGTGTTGAGATGACGCAAGGAGTAACAAGCTATCTTCCTTTGTGGTCAGGTCAATGTGAGTTTATCAGGCACTCTTGTGTCGTGTCCAGTTCTCATCTGCCGGTTGGACAGTGAGGCCACTGTCGCAGGACTGGGCCGTGTGTGCAGCACGTGCCAGAGAAATAGCCAATTTCTACCAGCCTCAGATCAGAGGCTACGGAGTCTGTCAAGAGTGACAGCGTAGAAAAATGACCCCTGTCCACTCAGGCGCTAGCTCCTGGTGATGCTGATGTGCCCAGGTCACAGCCTGCAGGATGCCGTAGCCCCAACCAGGCATCGGCTCTCTGCCGCCCCCTCGTGTCTCCCCGCGCTGGAGCAGCAGGCACAGAGGCTTCCTTCCTGGAGGTTTGGATTCAGAAGCTGCGATTCCAGAGGTGACTCCGGAGCCATGAAGTGCTGTTCCCGCTCTGTTTGGCCCCTGTTTTCTTTCAGGCGAGGCGTAGGGTCTTCAGGTGATCACAACTGAGAACAAACATAAACGGGGCTCTCACCTGCTAGGGGCCTGCTCTTCCTGACCCCTGCTGGTGCGGTTCCCAGCGGCACCCTTCTCACCTCTCCACACATTTCAGCAGCATCTGTGGCATGGATCCCGCAGAAACAGGTGGTTCCAGGTCATGCACCTACAGACCCCACGAGGAGCCAGGAGCTCATTTGGGAAGAGGTAGGGCCACGGCTCTGTCCCCCACTCGGCCTCCCTCTGCATTTTCCAGGCCTGAGCAGCCACCTGCCCTTTGTCAGCTCCAGGCCCTCACTGAGCAGTGCAGAATGACAGAAGCACCCCGTGGCCCGTGGCAGAAGCACAGCTCTGACAAAGCAGAACGATGCTCTGGGAACGATGCTCTGAGCTTTGCATGGTCCCGGGGTTCACTCCATTTTGGTGCCAGGGTTCACTCCACTTTAGCGATGGCGTGCGTGTGGTTAGACATCCTTTTTCTGCTCCGGTTTTCTTCCATCTCATCCATACAGGTGAGGCTGAAACAGACCTTCCAACTCTGGTGACTGAGATCCAGATTCGTTCTGAACATATTTCTTCAAGTTATTTTCCTTATACGATTTGTAAAACCTTTTAACCTTTCCTTCTTAACATCTATCCATGATCAACTTGAGAGCCAAAAATATGCCGTGGGGCTAAAAATGAATGTGTGGGCCATGGGGACTGTCCTGTGTCACTTCTTGCTCCCTGTAGGGCAACCATTGTCCTGTCACATGTGCTGTCTCCCTGCCACCTGGGCACACCGTAGAAGCTGTTATATAAGAAGGTGGGGGGCCGGACGCACCCTACTAGGCCTCCGGTAACAGCCCTTGTTCCTCAGCGCCTCCTCTGGCCACGTGTCCAGCACAGGGGCGTTGAAGAGGAGGTGTCCCTGGGTTCTGTGGTATCATGAGATTCCTGTGTGCTTTAGGAGTGCTGAGTCCCGAGACCACATCCCCTAAGTGGTCACCAGTGAAGCTCCTCTAAGAGAAAGCAAGGGTTTGTCTCTGAGGAGACTGAGGACAGTGGGACCGTCCCGAGATGGTCACGGGCATCAGTCCTGGATTCTTACTTGTGCCTTCTGCAGTGTTAGGTTGTGTTGATAGGATGCATGCATCGATGTGGTCAGCCGGAAACAAACATCTCTGTCCTCCCAGAGAAGTGTCCACGGACAACTAGACAGAAGCTGAGCTAGAAAGCAGCAAAAATGATGTTTTAATTTCTGACGGTTCCTGCGAGGCTCAGGACCTGGTCTTCATGTCCACTTCCCCACAAACTGGCACCACTGTGGTAAGCACCACCAGTTTTAAGTGAACAACAGTAATACTCAGCCTCATCCTCGGGCTTGAGACCGGAGATGGTCAAGGTGGCAAAGCTGTCTGACTTGGATCCAGAGATGCGATCGGGGACCCCTGGGGGCCGGGAACTGACACTATAAATCAGGAGCCTGGTTGCCTTGCGGGGAGACATAGTTATAATGCCCCATGTCCCTGCTGTCCCGGCACAGGAGATGGAGCTGACTGGCCCAGAGCCCCAGACACTGAGGAAAGGTGAGCCAGAGCAGACTGGGCCCAGGACGCCAAAAGAGCAAAAACACACTCAGGTGAGTTCAGTCTGGGCCCAGGTGAGCCTGGGCAGGGGCCAAAGGGTCAGCACCAATGTCTTTGGCGTCCCTTCCTTGGGGGCCTCACCTGTGACCTGGGTGAGGAGGGAGGGGAAGAGCATGGTGGAGACAAGTTGCGGACTCTGCCTTCTGATGCCCATTCCTGGGCCTGTCTCCCCCAGATCTCTCTTGTCCTTTCCCCTGCTTAAGAGAAGGGCAGAGTCTGTATGCAAATCTGGTTCCCAAGTCTCAGATTCACATGCTAGTTCACAGAAATGTTCTTCTGAAGTATCTTGCCCTTTCTTCCATGTCACTCCATCCCCAGGTACATAAACCTGCCCAAACCTGGACACGAAGTCACAGAAACTGTGGAGATAAATCTCCCTCTTTAAAATGAGTGAGCTTATTCTTTAATGCTTCCTTGTTTCTATCCCCGTGGGTTAATACTGACTTACAGTTCAAATGAAAAGTACAACTATAAGGTTCAGGTTCCATTGGGGTGCAGAGTGCATGCAACACTATTTCGCCTCTGAAAGCAGCGACGAGCCTTAGAACATGCAGGAGCAGCTGAGTCCCTGGAAAGGGAATCATAGAAGGCTCTTGAGAGAAACACCTGCGTTTGAAGTCACAGCAAACCAACAGTGTTTCCCCTTTTTCCTTTTGTATCCCAACATCTGAAATTACACAGCAGATCTGGGACATCCCAAGCCAGCTTCTTCCTAGGAAAAGTTCAGAATTAAATCTCTGGGCCTTCTACCAGTTCAGGAAAAATCATAGCATTGAAAGTCTATAAACCGGGGGGCTTCACTGCCCCCCTGGTGGCCACGGATGATTTCCAAATTCCTTGGGTGAAGCAGAGCATGAACTGAAAATCCCTGCCCGGTCCTCTCTCCAGCTTCTGGTTCTTCCTCCCAGTTGCAACAGACTGTCTGCCTCAGTGTCCTCCAAGTCTTCTCCCTTTCCTTTAGCATTTGAGACAAGTAAACAAGAGGAAGGAAAGAAAACCAATTACATGATCCCTGCAATTAACCCAGCTTAAATATAATACACTGGCTGTATCTATATAAAGAAGAAAATATACCACACAACTAGTAAACAAAAGAAAGCTATACTGCATATAATAGTATTTTTAAAATTAAACGAATGCGTTGTAAATATCAATATTAATATCAACATTAAAGTTGAAATCATCACACCTAAAAAAAAAAATCTACAAATGTATAAGACCTCAGCATTCCACTCTCAGTCACTGATAGAACTGTACCGAAATGAATATGACATTCAGCACCACCATGATCCAAGTTACCACAACTTGATTCAAGAGAAAAAGTCATTAAAAATCACAGCAAGGGGCTCCCGGGTGTCGCAAGGGTTGAGTACTGTGAAGCTGGCCACAGCCACCACAGTACAAGTTCGATCCTGGTCAGGGAGTGACCCACAGGGCAAAGCAGACCCCTCCTGTCTGCCGGCTGCTCCCTTAGTAGAGTGTGCTTCGTCCATCTGCCTGTTCTGCCCCCCACTCTGTCTATCCAGTATCATTGCTAGTGCCCGGAGATGGTGCTGGCAGGAGATGGTGCGGCTCCCACCCTGAGGCAGGCTGATTCAGGTTTTCTGAAGATTTTTCTCATGCCCTTAAGAGGATCCTCCAAGCTTCCAGGCCAGTTTCTTGCTCAGGCTCCAGACAGGGGCCTCTGCAACTTTCCATGCCTTGCACTGGTCTGCTTCAGAGAATTAGTTATACTTTGCCACGTTAGAACAATGGTCTTCTTGTTTGGGGGGTCCTTTTTCCTTGTTTTCAGCTGAACCTATGGGCAGAACCCTGTATCTCCTGAGCCTTGTGGCATTAGCAGCCCCTCAAGGACAAATACATTAGCCCAGAAGGAGAAAGGGGGAGGCTGTGTCTCCAGTTCCAAGTGAAAAACGGAGTCTTTATGAGCCTTATTCCAGGCGGCAAATGACTGAATTTGGATGTTCATTCATTTCAATAACCATGAGTGGACATGTTCAGCTCTCTGCTCGCACCTGGTACATTCCAGGAGTGGCAGGGTGGAGGCATGAAAAATGGCCGCTGCTCTCCTCAGCCACCTCCGTCCCGTGGCCTGTGGTAAAAGCCTTAGGGGTAACACCCTAAGGACAACAAGGAACACATGCCAGACCCACTCCCCACCCTTCAGGGAAGCGTGGTCACGTTAGAGGCGGCTGCAGCCCACGCCCAGTGAGGAAGCCTGAGCTTGTGTCATAGAGCTGGGGTTTCTGTGTGGCTCTGCACCCCCCTCCCTGATTCTCTTCACCCGGAAAAGAGCCTCATCCATCGTTCGCTCCCCACCTCCGCAGAAGCCTGACTTCAACCCCCCAGAGGCATGGGAGGAATCAGGCACCAAAACCTGACACCAAAGATGCAAACGTGCCCCACTCCCAGTCTCCGCTGCCCTCTGGCGGCCCCAGACGCAGGCGCCCAGGATGCAGCTCAGGGAGAGGCTCCCGGAGGGCTGCGGCGGCTCAGGGAAGACCCTGGGGTACAGCCACACCTGTCCAGAGCAGAGCGGGAGGAGCGGAAGCTGAGTCAGCCCAGGCCTGGCGGGTGAGCAGGGCAGAAGGGCAAGAATGTCTGAGAAGTTTCTGGAAAACCAAACTGAGGGAGGGCCGAGGCGAGCGTCGGGATGAGGGGCAAAGTCAGCCAACCCGGGTCGGGGACCCCCTCCCCCCAACTCGGGGGTTATGTAAATGCAAGGTTCAGGGCATGGGGGCAGGACTAACCAAGCAAGGGCCGCTTTCCCAGAGGAGGTGCAGGTGGGGAGAGAACACCTCTCAGGGACACTGAAGGGCCCGGCACCCCAATCCCCACAGAGGAACTTGTGGGGCTGCAGGCAGGCCCTGGAGTTGATATGAATCAGCAGTGGGGGTTATGGGCCTCTTTGCTCACCCTCCCACACATCCGCCAGCCCCCCCACTATAGTCGCCCCCCATTCCCAACTGAGCCCCTTGATGGATGTGACCCTGAGCAAGCACCACCCCCACCCTGACTCCTCCCTCTCCAGCTCGGCAAATCAAACCCCTCCTGTGCTCCCTGGGAGACCCTGTTTGTGATCCCAGATCGCGCGAGACTTTGCCTTCACGGGAAGCTGATTGGTCAGATAGCGTAGCCCCGCCCCTCCCCCAAGGGCGGGCTCCGGGGAGTTTGCTGAGCCAGCCATTGTGCCCGCAGGCCACGTGGCAGCGTGTTGTCTGCAGCTGAGGAAAACGTAAGTTGCTCCCTTGCTTCTGGCGCTTTTGGGGTGTCCCCGCACCGTAATCCGCACCCCACCAGACTCTTGTCGAACATGAGGCGCCGGAGTGGCCTTGTGGGAGCCCAGCCCGCTGCCTGCCGGGCGGTGGAGAGGGGCGTGGGGGGGCATAGCCGGGGTTGAGGCGCCGTGACCCCGCGACTCAGGCCGCTCCCCCCCAGGCCGGCAGGTTGGCGCCCGAAGTGAGGTGGCCGCCACGGGAGAACGGGGTAGCGGCCGGAGGGGCCGTGGCCAGCGGCCTTGAGGGACGGTCACTTGCGGCCCAGCGCCCGGGCTGCGCCTTGGCCTGTAAGACTGAGGAGCCGAGTGGGTGGGGAGGCGGCGGGAGGCTCCACCCCGGGCGGCGCGCCAGGTCGCTTTCCTCCGCGCTCCTGGGCTGAGGGAACTTTTTCCTCAAAGCCCCGCGGCTCGGGCGCACTGGGCCCTCTGTGGACCCTGGGCCTCTCTCAGGGTCCGCGGGCGGCTCAGTTCTTGCCCTCAGGCCAGCGACTGTCGTGGGGGCGGACGAGCCGGACACCGGTCGTGCGGGCAGGCGCGGCCCTGCGCCGTGGGGAATATGGCGCGGCCCTGCGCCCACTCGCCACCGAGAGACCTCCACGGAGCCCCGGCCTTGAGTGCGGGTCCTCTCCTGCCCTGGGGAGCCGGCCCAGGAGGGCGCTGTGTGGACGAGCGGGGGCTCCCCCCCCCCAAGACTGATGAGGGAGCTGGCGGGTGCGGGGGGAGGGAGGGGGAGGGGCAGCTGGACTGGGTCCACCTGTGTCTCACAGGCAGCGAGCAAGGGCGCAGCCACCCGCGACCGGGCGCTGCCTCGCGTGCGGAGATGCTCACCCCATCTGCTCCCGGAACCCCGGGTGGCGTGCCCAGCACACGCGCCCCGCCTCAGGCCCACGGGTGGGAGGTGTTTCCTCCCAGGGCTGTCTGCACCTCAGGCGCCGGAGACCAAGCTGCTGTGCTCAAACACCCCAAGATCCCCCTTGTCCCCCGGCCCTCGGGGGCCCTATCGTGGGCTGAGAGCGCCAGGCACACGCCCGTAGGCTGACGCAAGTGCCAGCAGCAGAGCGCCCCGGACTGCGAGGCGGCCTAGGGCTTCGCAGCGCCACTTCCTCAGCGGAAAGGAGAAGGCTTCAGGGCCGCCTCAGGCCTTGAGAGGACCCCTGAGAAGTCGGCGGCGGCCATCGTCATCGCGCACATCCAGCCTCGAGCGCGCGGCCCCCACTGCCCAGAGAAGCGGACATGAAGAGAATGTTGTGGGGAAAGGACGGCGGGGTGCCGGAGGCCGTGGCGGGCGGGCCTGCCCAGTCGCGCGAGGCATTCTGGAGACGGGCTCGGCCAGGCTGCAGGGTCAGCAGAGGCCGCGCAGACGCCGCGTGGCAGCTCCCCGAGAGAAGACTCCGAGTGGAGGTGCAGCGAAGAGGTGAAAGCAGATGTGCTCGCACTCTGATGCGGTTTCCACGAGAGGCACTTTCCTTTGAGTGTTAAAGTCACAGCGTGCGCCTTTTGTTTTAGTGCCCTACTTTATCTTTCCATCATTTTTTGCCTTTTCCCATCTCAGTTGCAGTCCCCGCCGCGTCCCAGCACCGCTTCACCCTGTGCCTTCCCCGTGGCCGGTGCGCCGCCCCCGCCCTCCCCGCTTTTGACCATCCCCGCAGCACCCGTAACGTGTCTGGTACACAGCGGCTCATGACGATCCCCCTTCATTGCTTTTTTCGTTCATGGCGCATCGTGAGAGGCCTAAACGCTTTGACCGTATCTCATGGCCACAGGAAAGTCACTGTCTTGCTTCTGGGCTGTTGAGCTTGCTCTGTGCCATTTCAGCTGGCACAAAGGCTTTATTTAGCTGCGGTTTTGGCCCAGCTCTGCTGTGCGCAGCAAGGTCAGCAGGGATGACTCCTTCAGCTTGCTTTGAGCTTGTGTGCTCACCAGAATGCAAGGGCTGTGCCTCAGAGGTAACCCGGTGGAAACCATGCTATTTTCGCTGCATGTGCCTCCTCCCCTCCGCAGAGAACAGAGGAACAGAGAATCCGGATGAAGCCTAGAGGGGACGTCTGGGACAGTGGAGAGGAAATGGGCTGGGCCAGAGACTTCCCTGGGAACAGCCAGCCTCTTTCAGTGCTTCCTCATGGGCCTCAACCAGGAGATGGGGGACTTTTTCTATGGCGGTAGAGCCACGGTAGGGGCAAACCCTGAGGATTACTGCTGTCTGCAGTGAAACAAATTCCAGGGGGAAGTTCCAGAAAGCCTGATGTACCTAGTTTCATTTTCAGTCACCTTCACCTCCTCTGGTTGCTGTTGAAGATTTGGAGGAGTTGGATGATAGGAACACACCAGCCCCATTTTCTCTTTCCTCAAAAGCACAGTTTTCACAGCCTGAGGAGTCTGAAGTACCAAGTCTCAAGAAACGCTCCCTCCCCTGGGTTGAATGTCAAGGTTGGGCCTCCCCTTCCCTCTTGGAGAGTGCTTGCCACGCACTCGCCCTTTCCCCATAGTCTCTATAGCCTGCCCTCGGGATGGAGGAAGCAGCTACTGGCATCTCAAACCCAGGTCAGAAAAGATAAGATCAGCTCCTTGAAACATACCCAACCCCTCGTCCAGGCCCACAGCACTGCTGGATGGTCTCAGAAGCCTTCCGGGGACAGAGAAGGAAGGCCTAATGTGCTACTGCCCTCTTCTCATCCTAGCCCCCATTTTGGATGTTCTGGGCTATTCTGCTCAGTGTCCTCCTCAGACCCTTTGCTCTGGGGCCTCAGCCTCTCCACCCCTCCTACCTTGTGCATCAGCTTATCTCTGGATGGACTGGCTGAGCCAAGTGTAACTGACAGCAGACAAGGCCACAGTGATGAGCAATGAAGAGGGAGAATCTTCAGTGGGTCTACATATTGCTGGAGCTGAAGTAAAGCTAGATTTTGAGTACAGTGATGGTCAACAGAGGCCTTTGATTTTTTTTTTGAAGACAGAGGAAAAGACACAGTCCAAATGCCATGTCTGCTCAAGGGCTAAGTGAGTAGAGACTCAGATGGGGGAGCCAGGCATCCCAACTATGTCAGGGAGTCACCACAGCTTCTTTGCTTCAAGAGTTGTGACTACCTTGGTTCTCCACATCTGTGAGCGTAGAATGTCTTTCCTTCTGTCTAGCTCTAACTCCTCTAATGATGTCTTACAGTTTTTCTTTTAAGAAGGCCTTCACCTCCTTGGTTAGGTCAATTCCAAGTATTTCATTCTTTTTGATGCAGTTGTGAATGGAATGATTTTCTTGATTTTTCTTAGTTGTTTTATATAAGAATGCCAAACATTTTGTAGATTTTGCCACTTTGTTGTATTCACCTTGTTTCTAGTAGCTTTTAGGGTTTTCTATATTTAATACCTGTCTGGGAATAATGATAGATTTTCTTCTATCTTTTCAAACCCTTTATTTACTACTGTTTTCTAATTCTCACCAAAACCTCTAGTACTAAATTAAAAGGAAGTGACAGCAGTGGGCATCTTGATTTTAAAGGGAACGTTTGCAATTTTTCACCATTAGCTATTATAGTGGCTGTAAACTTGTAATAAATTCCTTTATTATATTCAAATAAGTTTCCTCTAGTCCCATCCTGTTTAGAGTTTTTAAAATCACAAATGGATGCTGAATCTTATATTTTCTTTGCATCTATTGATATTTTCATGTTTTATATTTACTTTTGTTGATAGAATGTATTAGATTGTTGATTTGTATATGTAAACCGTTTTTAGTCCTGGGATAAATCCTTGATTATCATGTATATTTCTTGTATTGCTGTGTGATTTGCTAGTACTTTAAGATTCTTGCATCAATGTCGAGAAATACTGATCTGTAGCTTTCTTTTCTGTGCCATCTATATCTGATTTGGTATAGGGTAATATTGACATCACAGAATATATTAGAGAACTTCCCTCCTTTTTTTGACTTTTAGAAATAATTTAGCAATATGGCTGTGATTATTTTGGAAGTTTGGTACAGATCACTTCCAAAGCCGCCTTATTCTGTGCTTTTGTTTTGGGGAGGTTTTTGATAGCTGCTTCAATTTCCAATATTGTGATCGATTTACCTTTCCTGTTTCTTCCTAGTTTAATCTTGGTAATTTGTATTTTCTAGAAAATTGTCTGTTTCTTCAAGGTTGTTGAATTTATTGCTGTGTTAATTGATCCTTTGTAATTCGATACCAACTGTCATCATTTCTCCTTCAATTCTAATTGTGCTTGTTAATGTTCTTTTCTTTCCTCAGCCTAGCTTAAGGTTTGCCAATTTTGTTTATCTTCTCAAAGAACCAGTTCTTAGTTTCATTACTCTTATGGGTAGCTCTTTTGCTGTCTATTTCAGTTATTTCTGCTCTTTTTATTTCCTTCCTTCTACTAGATGTAGGTCTCTTCCTCATTACCCCCCCCCTTTTTTTTTTCCAAATTGCTTTAGATGTGGTATTTTTCTTGCTTTTAAATGTGGGTCAGAATTGCAGTTGTCTTCCCTCTTAAGACTATTTTTGTTGTGTTCATAGTTGCTGGTAGTTTATAGCCTCATTTCCATTGGTCTCTGGACACTATTTCCTCTTTGATCCTCTTTATGGCTGTTAATCATTATGTCATTTAGTCTCCATTTAATTATGGTTTTTCCTTTTTTAAAATCAATAGTTGATTTCTAGCTTTCTGATATGATCAGAGAAAGCACTGGTGTGATTTCAGTCTTCATAGTTTAATTGATAATTGACTTGTTCCCAACATACTGTCTATTCTTGAAAATCTTCTATGTGCACTTGAAAAAAATCTGTATGCAGGATTTTTGGGGTGGGGTGTTCTGTAGATGCCTGTTAATCCTATTTGTTCTAGCTCCTCATTTAAGTTAGTTTTTGTTTATTTTCTTTTTTGTTGATCTGCCTATAGTTGTAAACGGAATATTAAAATTTCCTGGTATTGTGTCATCAATATTGCTCTTTAGTTCTGTTGTCTTATGTATGTCTCTTGCTGCTTCATCATTTGGTACATATTTATGTGTTATTTCTTCTTTTGAATTAGGCCCTTAATCATAATGTACTGTCTTTCTCTGTATATTAACACTTTAGTTGGAAATTGTTTTATGTACTATAGGTGTAGATGTTCCTGACATTTTTTATTGTCTTTTGCTCATTGGATAGCCTTTCAGCCCTTAAATCTGTGCTGTTTGTAAGGTGGGTTACCTGTAAACAGCTGAAGGTTGAAATATGTTTGAAAACCCACTTAACTGCTCTTTTTTCCCACTGGTGATCAGAAGTCATTTACATTAAAGGTGATTATTGAGATACAAATGCTTATTGTCATCTTCTCAATCTCTTAATTTCTTTCAACTTGTCTTTGTCTTTTACTTTTAAACATCTTCCTTTTATGTTTAGTTTAGTCCCATTTCCATTGTATTATGTACTGGTTTTATTGATGTTTTGTTAGTATGATGAGGTTAGTTTGTTTGGGATTAGTATGGTGAGTTTTGTGTGTGTGTGTGTGTGTTTTTTTTTTTTTTTTTTTTTTGGTGGCCCACTGAGAAGTCTGATCTCAAACCTGTCCCTGTTGGAGCACATTTTTACTCTCCTCCACATTACACATTATACATCATACATCATAAATGCATGTTGTACTTTATCAAATGCCTTCTCAGAATCCATTGCTATCATATGGTTTTTATTTTTCATTTCATTGATGTGGTAAATTACATTAATTTTCAGATGTTGAATCATTGTGGTATCTACCTTTAGGGGAGAAGTGTCTACTTAAGCCACTCCCCTTTTAATTTCTCAAGTCCATCCAGACAAAAAGTCTAAATAAAACCTTTTTTTTTACTTTGTTTTGGTCTCATTACAAACTCCCAGCGACAGTCTTTTCCTGTTCAACTCCTAACTGCAATTTTGACCTGGCCTCCTGGTAAGTCTTGACTCTAAAACTTTGGAAGATCAATTCTGTTATAATTGTACTTCTGTTCCTTCCTAAATGGGCTTATGATTATTTATTTTAGGTAACATGAAATATGTGGTAATTTGATACTCAGGAATTTTTTTCTGCTTTCTTTTGGGATGACACCACTTTCTGCATGCACTGTCTTAACTGGATTATTTGGGTCGTTTTGATGTGGCCCAAACTTCCTCAAGTATATTTCCAGGTTGGTAATTTTATTTTTCTCTTTGCCGATCATGAATAAATAACTGATTGAAACACCTGTTGGAGAAAGTAAAAAAGCCTAATCAAGATTAGCATAGATAAGCATAGATTTGCTTTCAGTTGGAAATTGAAATTTCAGCTAGGCTCCCCAGAAAGGCCTTAAGTTGCTTCTGGGAAGGTAGAGGAGGGGTCCAGAGGCCTGGGACATTAGAACTGCATGAAGCTTTAGATAGTGTAGGTGTAGATTGTTGCAGAGAAAATTGGGGCTTAGGCCAAAGACACGGGGGTGAAAGAATTCACCAAAGTCAGAGTAGAGTACAGAACAGGCAGATTTATTGAAATAACTACAGGGGAGCAAGGGGGGTGAGAAGAGATACTGTCCACCATTTTGACACAGTGAATCTGACTCTGCTTCCACATCCTGGAGCTTCACAGGTCCTGGTCAAGGTCTTAGTCCCAGTTTCCATGGCAAATGCACTAATGTATCTACTCAAAATTGCCAAACTTGTTTGCCTGGTAGGGAGCTTAGATTTTAACCTTAGTAGTGATACCCCATTGCAGATCACATGGACTTTTATAAATAAGAGGCAGCATTGTTATTGTTCTGTGTGTAATTTTGGATAATGCTTTGTGGTTGAAGTCTCCTGTTTTCACTCCCTTCGTCCTTCAAACCTCTACAAAATGACTACAGAACATTGCCCAGGAGATCAAGACATCAGGAAAAGATCATAGTCAGCTGGTTCAGATAAGTTGTAAACTAGTATTTTAGAAGACAGTGTAAAGGAGTCTGGAGATTCATCTACCTTGGATGCTAAACACTGTGACACATGAATGTCCCAGCTCCAAGTGACAACTTGAAAGCTGCCCCCTGCACCTCTGACCTATCTCCCAGTACTTAGATGAAAAATATTTTTTTAATTATAAAAATAAAATAGTTAGAAGTGAAAAAATTACAATTTTCATAAATACTGAAGACCATAAGAGATTGCTGCGAGCTCCTGTATGCCAACTAAGTGAATAATCTAGATGAAATGGAGAAATCTTTAGTAATCCGTGACTCTAGTCCACCAAAATTGAACCAGGAAGAAAGAAAAGCTGAAGGAACCAATCACAAGCAAAGAAATTGAAGTAGTAGTCAAAAGTCTCTCAGAGAACAAAATTCTAGGCCCAGATGCTATGTCATGAATTATACTAATCCTTCAAAGATGAACTTATCTTTAACTCTTCGAAAAGATAAGACGCTTCCTACATCATTCTGATAACCAAAACCCGACAAAATCATCATACAAAAAGAATTACAGACCAGTTTCTCTAATGAACATAGATGTAAAAGATGTGACAGTCTTCAACAAAGTATTAGCAATCCAAATTCAGCAATACATTAAAAGGATTATACATTGTGTAATTTACTCCAGGGACACAGGGATTGTTTGGTATCCAAAAATCAGTCAATGTAATTCAGCATCTAAAGACAAAAATCATGATTGTGTCAATAGATGCAGATAAAGCATTTGATAATACTCAGTGTCCATTTATTACAAAAATTCCCCCAAATGGGTAATTGGAACATTCTTCATCATAATAAAGGCCACATCTGACAAACACAGAGCCAGCATCATGCTCAGTGGTGAAAAACTGAAAGCTTTTCCTCTGAAATCAGGTACAAGACAAGGATTTTCATTCTTACAACTGCTCTTCAACACAGTGTTGGAAGTCCTGACTAGAACATTAAGGCAAGGGAAAAATATAAAAGGAATACAAATTGGGAAAGAAGAAAAAAACGAAGTAACACTTTGAACTATTTGTAGATGACATAAAATACATGGAAAACTAAAGAGTTAACTATAAAATGAAATAAATCAGCTTGGCAAATTAGCAAGGTACAAAATCAGTCTGCAAAAATTAGTTGTATTCATGCAAACAATGAGTTCAAAGAAACCCTGAAAACAGCCTCATTCACCATCACAACAAAAATAAATGCCTTAGAGTAAGTAAATGTAACCAAGAAGGTGAAGGAATTATATGATTTAAAACTCTTTAAGTCATTGTTAACAAATAGAAGACACAAGAAAATGCAAAATAAAACTTCCTTATGGGTTAAGAACGAACATTGTTAAAATGACCATTCTGCCCAACACAATATATAGGTTCAGTGCAATCCCTATCAGGCCCCCAATGGCATTTTTCAAAGAAATAGAGCACACAATTCAAATGGAACCACAAAGACCAGGAATAACCAAAGAAACCCTTACTTACAAAAGGGAAGAATGGTGATACCACACTCCCAAACTTAACACTACTAAAAAACTAGCATAATTAGAGCAGTTTGGTACTGGAACAAAAACAGACACATAGGCGGCCAGTGGAATAGAATTTGGAATAGAATTTGGAACACAGAAATCTGCATATCTGGGTAGTTAATCTATAACAAAGTAGCCAAGAGTACACATTGCAGAAAGGAGACTTTCTTCAACAAATGGTGTTGATAAACTAGACATCGATATGCAAAAGAATGAATCTAGATCACCATCTCACACTTGACCCAAAAATTAACTCAAAATGGAATAAGACATGCATATAAATCCTGAGACTAATTATTAAAGACAAGAAAAACAAAATTCTCTATAACATAGCCTTTAGAAATATCTTTGGTGATTTGTGTCCATTGACAAAAGCAAAAGCAGGGCCCTCCTTAGTGGCACAGTGGGTTAAAACGCAGCACTAGAAGCAAGCTGAATCCACTTTAGCACAAGTTTACAAGTTCATTCCCCAGCCAGGGAAGTGACCCACATGGTGCAACAGACCCCTCCTGGCTTGCCTGCTGCTCCGCTCAGCAGTGTACTTCCATCAGTCTGCCTGTTTGTTCCCCACTCTGTCTCTGGTGAATCTTTTCACCAGAGGATTCTGTCTGTACTCTAATACTGTATGCATAAATAAATCTTTTTTAAAAAGCAAATGTAAAGAATGCTATTAAACTTAAAAGTAGCCTCTGCATGACAAAAGAACCCATCTGTAAAAGACACCCTACTAAATGAGAAAAAACTTGCACATAAAACATGGGACAGAAGACAGAGGAAATGCATAAAGAACTCATGCAACTCAGCAAGAAAGCAATGCAATAAAAAAAAATGGCAGAAGAGCTAAATTGCTAGACTTTTAGCAATGAAAGCATAGATGTCCAATTGGCCCAAGAAAAATGCTTATCAGAGAAATCAGAACCACAATAAGATAGCCCTTCCCACCTGTGAGAATTCTCTATCAAAAAGATTAGAAATAACAAATTTTGATTAGGATGTGGAGAATCCTCAATTGGCCCCTATGGAAAACAGTATGGCATTTTCACAAAATACTAAAACTAACCCAGCAGCTCTGCTCTTAGGTATCAAAACACTAATTCCACTAATTGTGTATTCATGTATAGCTGTTGTTACAGTAGCTATGTTATGGAAACAACAAAAGGACCCAAGAACAGAGAAATGTGGCCAAAAATTGTGGTATAGAAGCAGTGGAATACTACTCAGCTATTAAAAAGAAATATGATCTGGTGTCATTTGTGACAATGTGGAACTGGAGAGGGCCATGCTAAGCAAAATAAATGGGAAAGAGATATGTGGAATATAAAGACACATGAAGGGTCAAGATCAAATTAACCATAAAAAACATCTGACTACAAAACAGGCAACCAGAGGGGCTGTGGGGGCTAGGAGGTGGAAGTGAGGGGCCCACTGGGATAGTCATGGAGGATTGTTGGGGTACTGGTGGTGGATAGGGTGTGAAAATTTGCATTATTAGAGGTTAAATGTGTAACCACCTAAGGAGATATAGTGATAAAAACCCACTTTACCTCAGTAAAACACTGTGAAAAAGAAATGTGCTTTTGCCTTAACCCCAGACATTCTGATGTCTGCTTTGGTTAAAACCATTTTACAGTCACTTAAATACCTGTTCTTTGACCAGATTTCTTTCTTTAAATGACAGGCATTCTAAATTATTTGAAGTTTAACTGATAATATTTTCAACATTTAATTTGTGACAAACGTGTATCATTTGTGCTTTTATGATATTACTGCTCATAATTTTGTAGACTCTTCTGGTCAAAGTGGTCATTCTAATACTTGTGGAAGAAACATACTTTATAATTTATATATTGAAATTAGTATTTTTGTTATTTTCATCTCCACTTTCACATGCTAAGCTGCACTGTTGTGCACTCATTTAAAAATTTTTAAATGACACAATGGCCTTTGTGTGGATGTCCTTTAATTCTTCCTATATGGGTTTTGTTGTAACTGAAGGAGGCTATGCTTTGTCACATGGTGCTCTTATGTTCTGTTCGTGAGTGGTAATCAGAAGATTGACCTCAGAAGGGTGGGGTCAGCACTCAGGCTCCTTGGTGTGGACTGCATGGTGGGGCTGGAATGGAATGGAGCAGTGAGTGGTTGTGGGACAGGGCCAGTGGCCATGTTGGTGCCTGGCAAGGCAGGGGCTGTCGTAGGACAGCACAGAGAAGGATCCAGGCAAATGGGACCCACTGTTGCCATAGCAGTGACTTTGGTCCGGAGTTAGTTTTTTGAAGGGTGAAGGTTCCATGGGGTTGTTTGTGTTTGCCTGAGAGGGATAGCTTGTTTCCCCAGGATTCCTTCCGGAGCAGATTCATCAGGCTAAGCATGATGGCCCCACCCAGGCTTCTGGAACTTGCGTGTCAGAGCCTATTGAGAGATGAGACCTTGGCCATCGCTGCTCTGGAGCTGCTGCCCATGGAGCTTTTCCCGCCGCTGTTCACAGCAGCCTTTGCTGGAAGACACAATGAGATTCTGAAGGTGATGGTGCAGGCCTGGCCCTTTGCCTGCCTCCCGCTGGGGGCCCTGATGAAGGATCAGCAGCTTCACCGAGAAACACTTCAAGCTGTGCTGGACGGACTCGATGTCCTGCTAGGCCAGGAGGTTCGCCCCAGGTGAGAGTGCCTGGTAACCTGGTAGGGTTCTTGAAATCTGAGCAAGACAGCTGGAGCCAGGGGTGGGCAGGGCCAAAGGGAGGCTGGGACAGGTGCTTCCGATGGTGCCATGAGGGTTCTCAGGGAGGCCTTTAGGATCATTGCTGGACTTCCACTGGGAACAGACTTCTGGGCACTTGGGGCTGGTTAAGGTGTGGTGGTTACTGAAAGAACGTGTGCTAACCCCTCCCAGGGAGATGTGAGGAGTTCCTGATAACCTGGAGTCAAAGTACGGGGCCAGCGTCTGGGTCTTGCCTAGGTTCTGAGAGTTACAGTCATACTCCCTGTTGACCTTCTAGCATCACCACCCAGTACTGTTTTCCTTGCAGGAGGTGGAGACTGCAAGTCCTAGATTTACGGAAGAATGCTCATCAGGACTTCTGGACTGTGTGGTCTGGAATCAAACCATTTTTAGAGCCAGAGTTGGCCCAGCCCACGAGGAAGAGGCGAAAAGTGGAGGGTTCAAGGACAGAACCGAAACAACCTTTGGCTCCACTGGAGGTGCTCATCGATGTCTGCCTCAAGGATGGTACCCCCAATGAGTCTCTCGTCTCCCTCCTGAAGAAAGTCAAGCAGAAGAAAGGTTTACTGCATCTGTGCTGTAAGAAGCTGAAGATTTTTGTAATGCCAATGCAAAACATTAGGAAGATCCTGAAGTTGGTGCAGCTGGAGTCTATCCAGGATTTGGAAGTGAATTGCACCTGGAAATTGCCCACCCTAAGCAAGTTTGCACCTCATGTGGGTCAGATGGGCAACCTGCGCAGGCTCCTCCTCTCACACATCCACATGGCCCCCCTGGCCTCTCTGGCGAAGGAGGAGCGGTGTATCAGCCAGTTCACATCTCAGTTCCTCAAGCTGAACCACCTCCAGGAGCTCTATTTGGACTCTATCTCCTTTCTTAAAGGCCGTCTGGATCAGATGCTCAGGTGAGAGCTGGTGAGGTTTCTCTGGGACCAGAGCAAGTCCTTTTCCACTTCTTAAGGACAGTGGCCATGGACAGTTACTAGAGGCCACATGTTGTCATTTCTGTTCTGTCCCCAAGTTGTAAACATAACCACCCAGGTAGGGCTGCAGGTATGAACTGGAGATACTGTTGGAAGGGACTCTTACTTAGTATATGGGGGCTTCGGGCCTGACAAGAATGGCTTTAGGAATTCTCCCTGAGAAAGTGATGTCTGAGGTGACCGAAAAATTGAGAAGGAAAATCCCATCAAATGTAAGATTCCTGTGATAAGCATTTTGCTGCACTGTCAGCTTGAGCCACTCCCC